GAACCCGCGACCCTCAGATTGTGAGTCGAGCGCCTTATCCACCTGGCCATGCCGGGCACATGGAAGAGTGTGGCAGAGTGATTAGCATGTCGGGCTTCGGAGCGAAAAGCCCAAGGTTTAAGATGTGATGTTGCTTAACACACTTATAAGAGTGACAGCAAAGCCTGTCATTTGATTTTAAAAAAACGGATAAACCCCTTTTGGCGACTGACGTATCTGCTGAATGTGAATATTGGATTCATTATGTTCAGGTCATAAGACTTAAGGTTTAAAAATATAGAACAGATATGATTTAAAGTAAGTTACATGAATTATAAACCCAACAAATCACCCAAGGAACATTTTTACTATTTAAACAATTGCTCTGACTTCATCATTTGGTATTGTTGGTTACGCATTGAACGTACTTAATTCGTAAAAGTTGGTATTTTACGCATGAACATTTACTGTGGTAAATAATAAGACACAGAACAATTCTCTAATAAAGTAAATTTACGAGAAGAACAATTTCTTTTGAGAACAATTTCCGCAGGTAGAATTTTTTCTAAAGGAGGCAAAACATTTGAAATTTTCGAATTATATTAGGTATGTAAGATATGTTTATTTGTACGTACAAAGCTATACAATGTACTATTTGTGTTGTGCCCACCACAGTCGTCGAAACCCGGTTTTTAGCGTTACAAGTTAACAGACGTACCGCTATGCCATTGGAGGATGTGAAATATACGCCACTAAACTTCTTTAAACGGCCCGGCATGGCCAGGTGGTTAGGGCGCTCGACTCGCAATCTGAGGGTCGCGGGTTCGAATCCCCGTCACACCAAACATGCTCGCCCTTTCAGCCGTGGGGGCGTTATAATGTGACGGTCAATCCCATTGGCGATGGGTGGTGATGACTAGCTGCCTTCTCTCTAGTCTTACACTGCTAAATTAGGGACGGCTAGCGCAGATAGCCCTCGTGTAGCTTTGCGCGAAATTCAAAACAAACAAACTTCTTTAAACAACAATCGTGCAAGTACTAGCAAAATGTTTCCATCTGAACTAGGGTGATTTTTTAAAAAAAAAATTAAGATCTTTTAATTTTTTATTTACCCAAACTCTTCGAGGGACGATACCCCTCCCCCTCCATAGCCACGTTACGGTTAAGAACTAATGAAGTTTAACTTTGTTGTCTTATTGATTTTTGTCAAGGGCAAAAACCGTATATTCACGATGCCGAGATAACAAGTTTATTTTGGGTATAAGTAATCCGAAAAGAATGAAGAAGTGAAAACAATCACACATTTTATTTACTTACTTTTTGATCGTGCAAAACTAATTGGAAAAATTGGGTGTGAAAATTTAGGTGTTAAAGCAATCCTAAAGGTAAAATCATGCTACAACTTGGGATTATTCCTATTTTGTCGCCATCATACTTGTTCTTAAAGTCTAAAGGAAATTATCAATTATTGGTTTCATCAATAGAATACATGGCCATCACAGTAGCGTGTGTTTCACGGTTAGTTTCACTATAAAGAGATCTTATATGAATAATACATGTAAGTGAAACTATGGTGACCTACTTCGTTCTGTGTAAAAAGTCTATAAATACCACATCTGCGACGTACGTGGAGTAACGTTCGATATCTTTTCGGACCTATCTCACAAGATTAATCAGTTATTTAGTCCAATGCGGAAGAGACGTAAAAACCTCATAAATGCTGTTAAATTCGTTTCTTGAAAAGGTCTTGGGTTCATAAAAGAAGCTTGCTTTGAAAACCACTTTGTACATTTTAGCGAGTTTATTAATGCGTCGCGTATCGAAAATGGTTCATGCTATACAGCGATGGATTTTGTGGATGCTAAGATTGCTATAACATGATCTTTAACGTTTCGATTACAAGTCTTCTTCAGTAGTGTTTTACAAGGGATGGATTTTGTGGATGCTAAGATTGCTATAACATGATCTTTAACGTTTCGACTACAAGTCTTCTTCAGTAGTGTTTTACAAGGGATGGATTTTGTGGATGCTAAGATTGCTATAACATGATCTTTAACGTTTCGACTACAAGTCTTCTTCAGTAGTGTTTTACAAGGGTACATATACAATCTTCACGGAATAGGTTCCTGGTCGCTGCTCCCTGATTCGTTCATTATCGTCGTCTGTCGATCACCACCACCACTCAGATGGATTTAATCTTTTCTTTACTATAGGTTCCCACTTGAGAGGTTAATATGACGTAACAATTTGTATTGGAACTAATTAAAACGCTTAGTCAGTAAAAATGATTGATTACCTTTCTGAAAATGATTAGGCCAAATTGAACAGAACTTAGGAACTCTCCAATCAATAATGAGGAGTGTACACTAAACTACCTAAGCTATCAGAGTTTGA